GTGCAGATTGTTAGATAGAAGGAAGTCATAAAGTAACTCACCTCTTTTGTTGATGTCGGTGCTCCCCCACGAGGTGTGGTGGGCATTGGCATCGCATCCCACAAGCAGGTCGGCGTTGTGTCTTTGTGCGTAGGCCACAACGTTCACCAGGTCTTCTGTGGGATTGGGCTTATCACCGGGGAGGTAGGCTGAGCAGACGATTACTCTAGCCCCACTCCACCCTTGGAGATTGATGTATCCTGCGACCAGGTCGTCATTGCAAAGCTCTGGAACAGGTAAAAGGTCAATATTTTTGTTATGAACGATGCACGCCCTGGGTCTATAGCCACCATTATTGAAGAGTCTAATGCCTATCCTAACTAATTACTAAAAGTAACTCTGTCTGTCTGTATCGCTTTCACGCCTAAACCACTGAATCGATTTTGATGAAATTCGACATAGAGATAGTTTGAGTCCCGGAAAAGGACATAGGATAGTTTTTGTCCCGGTTTTTGAAACAGATACGCGCGCGATAAAGTTGTTCTGTGAAACAAAATATCACGCGGGTGAAGCCGTGGGCGGAAAGCTAGTATCTACCTAACTGAAATTCGTCTCGAAGTAAAGATTGTTAGGAATATTTGTAAGGATCGATAACGTAATATTTAATAAGCTTTAACTCATCAGAATGTTAAGTACTATAAAAATAAATACACTATCTGGCCCACGCGTGTAGATAAGCACAATGTAATTTAAAAAGAAAAATCCTTTTAGAACAGGCTCTTAGGCGCTCGATTGAGTAAATGGGACGCTTCGAACGGTCTATTTTACGCTACGGCTGCAAGATATTACATACTTCAATATCTTTGTAGGGCACTTTATCCATCAACCCTATAAATATAGAGGTCTTGGCGTTAGGTCTTGTGAGGGTATTCTTGTAAGGTCGCGCCTTTATTTCCCTAGCTATTTCCTTAAATTGGTAAGGATTATAGCTGTCGGGGTCGGTATTATTTCAGGAAGAATTGGGGCGATCGCCAGGGGCGCCAATGTTCAAGGGCTCGGCTGGCTGTTAGGAGCTGCTATTATACCAATATTATGTTATATCCTTTATTATGGTTATATCTGTGGGATGCATGTAGCGACGATTTAGGTTCCCAGCATAAAAAATATTAGGTGCGTAAAACTTCTTGAAGGGAAGCGATTAGTATGAGGCATATTCCCGTCCATTTCCGCGTTCCCATACAAATGTTGTGCGCTTTATGTGAATAGACCTTTTTACTCACTACTACTTTGCCTGGCCCATTCCCATTTTATTTGGGGTCGGCCCTCCGCGTCATGCGTCTCCAGGCGGCTCGGTCCTGGGTTGTTTTACTGTTAACTTTTTACTCACTAATTTAAAATTATTTGAACTATCGACTTTTCTCAAAAGGAATATCTTTCAATCTCCTATTCTTTCAGGCCTGGAGCCTTCGGAGAAGACGAAAGAACAATCAATGTCGAAGCGCGTCAAGGAGCGAATGAAAGGGTACTACTACAAGACGAAGTCCGCCCTCCAGGCCTCCGAGCTCTACATCAACACCAAGAGCGGCCGCGGTAAGAGACTCATCGACCAGTTCCTAGTAGACCTCCGGAAAATACTCGAGTCCAACAAATATAACGAGAGTTACTTCAACCGTAAAGCGGACCAACACGCCCGCATCTGTAACGATAGCGGTCTGTTCGAGTGCGGCGGACTCTGGAGCAAGGACACGTGCTCTTACGAGGGCGATCACGTCATAAACCCTTACAGGAGCCGCGAGGAGCGAATCATATTCCAGACTTGGAATCTGGACCATAAAATCGAGTTATCTAGGTCGATAATCCCAAACATACTGAAGGCGATCGAAGGGTTGTACAACGGTGATATTAAATGTATAACGTGCGAGGCTGCTTTCAAGCAGGGCACTGTGGAAGCCGATAGGTACTACATAGAAATATTTACTCGGGAGAACCTGAAGCTGGTTCACATTGTGTGCCATTACAAGGGCCGGCATGACGCTAATTCTGACGTGTACACCGTTTGCAAGAAATGTATTCGTGCTCAGAGCATCGAGTATAACGCTTAAAACGGCTTTTCTTTGGTAAGAGCTATTGACTGATTTGCTGTTGATATTTTGTGCTATTTTGTAATATTTTTCTCTATCTAGATCTTTGAAGACCTTTTATTCACTAAAAATTCAAACCGTGTTATAAAACTATCATGCGAATAAAAACGTTGTAATTTCTGAAATTGATTTGACTAAGATGAAAAAGATTAAGTGTTTTGGTAACTATGTATGACTGTTTTAATTTTTAAGAATAAAAGGATTAGTTATTTTAAGTACAACATACATACAGGGGCGAAGACGGTACGATGTTAATAAAGGCATTACAAAGTCTAAAAATATGTAATAAACAGAAAATAATTGAATGAAAAACGGCGACTTGTGTAGCTATTCTCAGGATAATTTAGAATTATTACCGTTAGCCGGCGCTCGGCACTAATGAAGTATGTACCTACTCCAACCTGGTAAATGTTCCTACATTTCTACCTGCATATTTTGGCTTATATGTTACATAATATTATGTCGACTTTACTCGTATATGACTTTATTTAATTTCGTACCGTCATCACCCCTAATCTATTTTGAATAAATATTTCTCACTACTTTTTGTATGGTTAAATACTTTGCTATAAATTAATTATGTATTCGCATTTTTATATTGTGCCAAAGACTTTTCCTTACAATTTTGTTATTGAAATTGTATTGTAACTCTTGTGAATGTACTCCTACTGCAGTTTTCTGTAAGAACTAAATAATCTAACGTAAGAAAAGATATGGAATTGTAGCAAATGTAGATAAAATTATGTAGCCTTTTAAAGTAGTGATTATTTACAATTTTAAATTATATTGTTAATGTTGTAATGTTTATTAGACAAGACTTTTCTATTCCTTAATTGATCTCCTCTTCCCTTCGTGTTTAGATGTAAGTAAATACCTACCTATTAAAACATGTAATAACACTACCGTAAGTGTTAAAACAAGGTAGAACATTTTTTAATCTCAATTATGTATTGATTTAGGTATTTTTTTATCTATATTTCATAATTTGTGTCATCAAGTTTAATTGATGATGAAGACGTATGCATCAATGGCATATCGTGTTACTAAAATGTTCCAAACCTACATAAATGTAACTTTATTTTGATATTAAATTAATTTATCTTGTATGTGACAAGTACTTGTCCAAAATGGCTAACAAAATTGAATACATTACCTAAATGTAAATAATATGGTAAGTGTTCCAATTTGTTAAGGAAGAGGGAAAGGACACAAACGTTTAGCCAAGTTGAAACATGATAACCTCATTTTAAATACAGGGTTGTAGATAGCCGTATCCAATATAAGTGCAAGTTATCATTTACATTCGTGCCGGATATCTACTAGTTTCTTGTCGCAACTAGATTCTGCCAACGACTTCTCGCATGTCGTCATTCCACCTATGTAGTTGAAATCCTACGTCGCGATCTTCACTCAATAAAAATAAATAGTCTACAATCAAGATTACGTACGATTAACAACAAGTACCTACAACGAATGTAAATGGTAATTCGCGCTAAAACTCTTTCAAAATTTATCGATTGTTCGTCTGACGAGCACAAGGTGCCGCCATCGAATTTATAGACCAACGCCGTAGCCTCTCAAAGATGCTTTACGTCCAACTCTTCGGTGGGTAGATAGATAGATAGTTACAAGGAAAGGTACTAAAGGCTTTTTCCTCTTTTACAAGTTTGATAGAGCTGAAATTAGTCTGAAAAATAATCTATTGAATACCAACTTCAAACGAAAAGGAGAAAAAGCCTTGATGAGTAATGGATTGACTCAAACTTATTATCGCAATGTGATTGTTGATTTAAAAATTGTAATTATTATTGTTTAAATATCATAGTCTATTTTACTAGTGTAATGGATCATTAACTGTTGCTTCTAAGGAATATTCATGATAAGGCTTGTTTCACAGTCGTCAGATAAGAAGAGCCCTATTACAGAAGTCACGCTTTCAATCCATCAACAATAATACCGAATAATTTTACCGCATTGTCTCAGACTAACAAAAAATCGCATTATGAGCTACTATACAGGGTGTTAGATTAAGTAGTTATGTATGGATCTTATTTTTTATAGCAATGTAAGGTAAACCTCCATTCTACTTTTTCAGTTAGTTTTTAATGATTATAATTGTTTTATGGCAATAGTGTATTTTAATTTGTTAAATTTCATAATAATTTATAAACATTTTACGTAATTGGTACTTATAATGATTTTTGGGACAGATTTGATGTTCTCAAAACCTTGTCTTACATCCTGTAAAAAAATCGTTGACACATAAATAAATAATAATCCAAGAGTCCTAAAAGTTAACAAGTACTTAAGTTTGCTTCCAAATGCGCGACCGACCCAAGACTTCTTAATAGGGCAAGTTTTTAATAAGTTTAAATGTGTTCTGCATCCCTCGGATAGCGCTTATCCCGCGGTTGTGAGACGACCTGAATATAATATTTAATAATTATAAGAATATATTTTATCAAAATCAAAAAAATCCTATTTTGTGACAATTGTACCTAATTGTTTAGATAGACGACATCAATAGCAATATTACTGTGTAAGTAATTACTATTATAGATTCAGATGTCGATGTAAATTATTAGACAGCAAAAAATTTAATGTTGGACTTAGAAATATCCGAGAGTAGGTTTGTTTATGTAGTGTTTTTACCAGGTCATAATCAAGTAAAGATTTTTATAAGTTTGTGTTGATTTGTGTACTTACCTGTTTTAATTCAAAAGAATGCAGGATGGTGATTGTTCTTTCATTCCACATCATAATGAATCAAACAAGGTACTTAATTTTAAATATTACTGTTACTTTATTTTTAAATATTTTCATTATTAATTAATTTAAAACCCTGTATGATGATTATGACCATGGTGATTGGAGTAGTAATTGGTTAAGGCGATTAGAGTCCTCAATGACCTTGAGCGTTTGACCTTCACGCTTCGCACAACACCCGCGCACCCCGCACGAGAACTCCGATTTGACGNAGGCCAGCGGCCGACTGCCGCCCGCACCCCGCGAAGGCCCCCTCAACAGCAAAACGTTCGGAATTTATCAAAAGTAAAATTTATGAATGAAAGTAATGTTCGATTGAAAAACGCAACGTGTCATTTTAAGATTAAAAAATTCTTAATCTATTCGTGCAAAAATCTTTAAAATTAACATAGCCGTTTGGGAGAAGTAGGGAATTGAAGTAAAAAATCGATGTCCCGTATTTATTTTTTTAATCCACAACAAAGAGACGTAGGAAAAATTCAAACGTGTCAAATGTAGTCCTTGAACTGTTGTATAACATATATTTTTTTCAACTATTTCTGTCCAGCAGTATAAGAGGAGTAGGCTTTACAAAATGACCATTTCACGCGGATTGAGGACACTAATCGCCTTAAGTGAAGCGCAATAAAATGTACTGTAGATGCTTCCATACAGCTTTATGGTGTTTGCTCATAGGTGTACTTGTGTAGTGTCGAGTATGTAGCGTAACTGTTCTTGGTATACAGTATTATGAACCTCCTCCTCCTCCCCCTTTAGTACCAGTAAGAGGAAATAGTATGTAACATTTATAAAAATGAACCATAGGTGGAATAATTTTAAATTGTAGACTTTAGTTAACAGGATATAGAATATAGAATTCAGAAATATTTTCTAAGCTTCATGAACATCTTCTTTTTATGTTTTATGCCATAAGTATAAAAATTACTGTATTGTGTATTGGACATTTATGACTGTTTATTATTTATAGTTATTATTACACATACACATTGATTTAATTTAGATGAAATGTTACTTATCATTATTTATATCTTTCTACACAGAATAGAGAATTATAAAAATTAAATGTAGCATGAAATCTTAAAAATATTTTTAATAAACCTGTTTCAACATGAAAATGTGTTTCATTGGATGAATAAATAATAAAGTTTAAGTGTAAATACACATTTAATGATAATAATTATTGTGGAGTAACACAGTTATAATGCAACACTGTATAAGTTTGTCTGGCCTAATTAAATTTTCTTCTGACCTCAGCCTATCTCCTTTTCCTACCAGGATTCTTTTTGCTTGGATTCCTTTGACCTCTGCCTCCTTTAGGTTTCTTAGCTGAGAAGTTGGTCACATTTCCTTTTCCACCACCTTTGCGATTGCCTTTAGGTGGCTTGAAGTTTTTCTTTTCCTCTGACCTCCTAAAAATAAGAAAAACCAATTTAAGCATGATACATTTTACACCCTCTCACAAGATATTGAAATCTTTGAAGATCAGCGATTGGTAGTTGACTAGTGTCATGAAATACAAATGGATTGAATAAATAGAAATAAATTTGAAATTAAATATACTTACTGCATTTGTTCATCATGTATATGTTTTGCCACAGCTTTATCCATGTCAATTTTAGGTCTCTTATTTAAGATTTTGTCAATCATAGACAAATTGTTCTCCCTCTCTGCCTGTGGTGTGGGTATAGGTGCCTTGCGCTTTCTGTCTTTGCCAGGAATGAGTTCATGGATGCCCTTGCCTCTAGCTTCTTTTTCTTTAGGCAATTTGTCTTGGAACTTTCCTAGTGAGGCTGTTGATGCCTTAGCGACTGTTGCAGCTGTGGCAAGCTAAAGAGAAAAAAAAGTAATTTTTTATTAATTTCATAGAAACAGATGAAAGTTTTCACTTTCTATATTATGTGAGTTGTCTTACATACCTGTGTAGCAGAAGCCTTATCTGAGGTGACTGGAATACCAACTCGTGGAATTTTAACTTTTCTCGCTCTAGCAATGTTTTTCAGCCGCTGCAGTTCATTCTTTGAGACTTTCTCTGATTTTTCTGTGGCCTTCTTCTCATACATATCTGTCATAGGATCAACATTTTGTGGTACTTCAATTAGCCAGTTCTTCTCTTTCTCAGCTGCTGCCTTTTTAAATCTGAAAGTTATTTTTTTTATTTTTTTTTATTTTATACGGCTACGCTATGCCTTTTGCCAGTGTCGAGTTAAAAACGGGGAAACGGGAATTGAGGAAAATTGCCTAATAACGGAATTTGGAAAGGATTTGGATCAGGAAAATAAGGATATAAAACAGGGAAAATAAACATTATTATACACATAAATAAAAATTAAGTTTATAAACATCATAACTTTAAACTATTTACAGAAATAAAAGAGGCTATACAATTATATACATGAACATCTTTGTGAAACAGGAGAGACATTATGGAAGTCGGGAAGGGAATATGCAAAGAGGTAAGTTTTTGGATGAAATCAGATCGATCATAATTGGGACAAGAAAAGAAAATATGATTGATGGTGCCTGAATCATAACCGCACTCGCACAGATCATCATTAATGATGTGCAACCTGGCAAGGTGAGAGGGTGCACATGTGTGACCCAATCTCAGACGTATGATAATAGAGGTTACACATTTGTCAAATTTTAATTTAAAAAACCAAGGTTTTACAGGAATTTGTGGTTGAAGGAGTGAAAAAAGATAACCTTTCGATTTACTACTATCTTCCCAATCCGCTTGCCAAGAAGATATAAGAGATAGTTTAGGCAAAGACAACAGATCATGACAATAATTCTGATACGGATACATATCTCCACAGGTTACCGCCTCATTTGCGAGACGATCAGCAATTTCGTTGCCTCTAATCCCGCTGTGACCAGGAATCCAAACGAAACAAACATTCAGACCAAGTAAAGTACACTCATGAAATTCTTTTCTAATATCATATATAACAGGGAATTAAAGTTAATTTTACTTAGTAAAAACAATCTGTCGACTAGGTACAACATCAGTGGAAACATTACAAGGATAAAAAGTCTATAATTACCCATATAAAGGCACCCATTTCTGCAACTGTTCATCCCATTCCAGTTTGTCTTTCTTCTTCTTGGTGATACCCTTGGCTTTAGCAAACTCTTGCCACTTTGTCAAAGGTTTGGGCTTCGGCACGGGCTTGGCGCGCGGCAATACGGTCGTGGGCTGCGGGAGCCGCACCACGATGGCTTCCTCGATCCTTTCGGTGGGCAGCTCCCATACTTTGTTCAACAACAGCTGAGTGTTATCGCGAGAGAGCGATTGTAAATATTGGTCTTTTTTAGAACTGAAACACGAAATCAATATCAACATCTTGCCTTTGTTATAAATAATAATTCATAATGATGTGCAAGCCCTCGATTATAAGAAAATCGCAATGGCAATAATAGTTCAAGAAATTCTTAAACATGTGGTATTTTAATTCTTACCTCAACAACTTTGTGTCCAAATCGTTTGAATCAAATGCAAGAAGAGTGCCCACATCAAAATCCAATTCTAAATGTTTTTCAACGGTGATTGATTTATACTTCTCAGCTTTTTTTTGTTCTCTTTCCAATATTTCATTAACGATATCCATTTTGCTAGTAAAATATTATTCTACGCAACAAACTAAAACTACTACTATCGGCCACAACATCATAACCTAAAAATTAAACGTCAGATTTTTGACAACTCCACGTGTGGCTGTTGTTTTTATTCCCATGTGTCAAAGGAATAAAGTTATGATATTGATGAATTAAATTTTAATTTCTACAACAGGATCAGAATTAAAGAGTATCTTCATAAATAAATGGTCATCATTTGTACAGTAAATAAATACTATGATAAAAAAATGCATCTATTGTTGGTATATCCGTAATAGTACTATCGATAAAACATATCCGAAACGAACAACACTATTTCGCATCCGTTCCGATGACATTGACAGACAATCGATTAATCGGAAATCGGATTCCTTCCTTGCTTGATCAATCGATTGTATTGTTGTTGTTTTTGTTTGTGTCACTCACTTCTCACTTATTTCAAATCAAAATGAGAAAAGTTTGCTATAATTAGCGATATTTCTTACCAATAATCGTCAATAAATAACAAGTATGACACCTGATATGGATAAAAGTTATTGTTTTAAAAAAGAGAACAAGTTCCTCGTCAAAAGTGGATGTAAGAAAAGGATGTGGCGATCACTGAAACAAATACTCACGGCTGAAAGAGCGTTGCCCTGGCATAACGAGGCTGTTTTGTGTATGTAACTACTTATTTCCTTAATATCCTGTTAAATATAAGTAATTTCCGAGTCCTTTTCATGATATAACCTCTCTCTTTACAGATTATACAATAAACGCTCCGCCGACTTTTAAACCTACTAAAAAGTATTCAGATATATCTGGGCTACCAGCGCCGTACATGGACCGGCACTCGAAGCTGTTCTACAGTAATGCAGACGAGTTTGCAACTGTTCGCAGCCTGCCCATGGACATAACTGCAGGATATTTGCAACTAAGAGGAGCTAATATTATTGTGGGATAGTTCATAGGTTAGGCAGACTTTAAATAAATTGATTATTTTTAAATTTACAATGATTTTTAATAGTGTACAGTTTTATGAAATAAAAACAACACAAGTATTATTAATAGTATTTATTAACAAATACCTATTATGATTTAATTCTGAAATTAACAACTAATAACCCATTTTTGGAATCCCCTGACTTGAACCATCGGCCAGATTTGTGTTCCTGTCCAATGGCGGCATACAACATGTTCCCATCACTACTAAACTGCATACAATTCACAAATCCCTTTATCTGTATGCTGAATAGTGGCATAATTTTTCTATATGCATCACACACTTTCCACAGTCTAATATTATTGTCATATGATCCAGATGCAAAAACATCTGAATTCAACAATGTTGCTACACTAGTTATCCATCTTGGCACACCATTTTCAACACCATGTGCTTCTGCTATTGTACATAGAGGTTTCTTTTTAAGAACACTCCAAAGACATAAGGAACCATTGTCGCTGCCAGATACAAAGCGTTCTTCATCTAATAGTCTGACTTCATCTAAACTGCCCACGGGCCCATTGAATATGAGCTGGGATTCCTCAACAATTTTCCATATCCTGACTGTAGTATCTCTCCCTCCTGCTGTGATTGCTCTCTCTCTTGACAGCGCATCTATCGATGTTATTGGTGATTGATGTCCAAATAAAGTCTCCACATACGCCATCTCATCTAATGACCAAATTTTCACAGATCGATCTTTGCTGGCCGAGTACAAATCATGCGTATTCTTTCTAAATACTAATCCTGTTATTGTGTCTTTATGGCCTTTGAATGTGTGGATATGTTTTAGAGTTGTTGGGTCCCAAACATGGATGTCAGATGACTGGTCTGAACTCACTAGGTATTTGGAGTCTGTTGAAATTGCAACTGAAGTAATGCTACCTTTTAAGTAGGTAGCATGTGTTTTATATGCCAGGCAACCGAGTTTTCTTTTCTCCTTAATGCCCCACTTTATAATAGTACCACATTTGCTTCCCGAGAATGCAAACTGAACATCATTACTGATGCAGACGCACGTGAGAGTCAGCCGATGTTCCCTGGCGCGGATCAGCCTGCAGTCCTCGTCAGTGGGCGCGATGTAGTTGTCGGCCACTTCTACTTTTAGTTTGCCTTTCTGTTCCAAGTAGTCCTTCTGTAAACGCTTCTCGACTGCATCATCAACCTCTTTTAGTTCGGCTCTTTTGGCCTCTTCTTTTTCAATTTCTTCTAAGTATTTCTTGGCCAAACGTAGTTTCTTTTGCTCTGCCGTCTCATTATCACTTTCAGATTCTTCTGCATCGGAAAATTTCTTGATTTCCAAGTCACTTTCAGAAGATTCGTTACCATTTTCTAGGTTAGGAGCGTTTTGCCTTTTCGGATTCTTCTTCTTAATTTTTTCACCTTTTCTTTTGTGAACTTGTCTAGATTTGCCTTTTAGAAAGAAGGACGATGACATTTTTTTAAAGAAATACAGCAGTTTTATTCAATATTCGAAAATATTTAAGTTCGAGCACACGTTGATTTGATGGCCATCTAACTGACATTGACAACACAGATGAGACAGGGAAATTTGACAGTAACTTTTTTTTGTAATTGTGTGGTATAGTTCCAAAATACTGGACTGTCCTGTCGATGACATTGACAGTGGGGCGCCACCGTCAATACCGGATCGCTGGTTCAGATTTTTGCCATGTTGGAAACCATATAGTTGAACGATGGTAGCGCCCCCCTGTCATTGAGTTTGGCGGGACAGTTCAGCGTGGGTCATCTATAACGCATTTGCACTTACTAGGATGGCGCCACTGTAGAGTAGGGTGATGTCCGTGGTGAAAAACAATATCCGTTATTATTAATAAGTTAATTAATTAGGAACAGTTTGTTCTGCAAGTATTCTGAGGAAATGCTATAAACTTTTGGTTTTGCAATACATTTATAATAAGTAGCCTCATTCATCATCTCCCAACTGAGCCAGTGGGTTTTATCAAAATCAGTTTAGTAATTTTTACTCATTATTACACTAGGCAACAGCCTTTGGTCTTTCTTTGAAAGGTTACAAATTAAAAAACAAGTTACTTTCTATCATTATATTTATTTAGTACACAATAAAACAAACTACATAGAATCTAGTGCCGGTGTCTTCCGATGATCTTCTTTCTTCAAGCCATTATGGGTATACCTTACCTTTCTTCAAGTATAGCAAGTAAAATCTGTATTAATTGAAATGTAAAATACTATAATACTATGAAATGTACTAGTCATCTCTTTCTGTGGGGAGCAGGGAGGGTTAAAGGTGGTCCTGCTTCGTTACCGATAAACCTAGAGACGCGCGTTATCTGCAAATCACAGGAATCAGCACAGGATACTGCCACAGCAAACAGGCCAGCGCACCACCGGCCTGCCAAACAAACGCTCATGTTAGTGCGGAGTCTGCAATCAGCCGGCGCTACCTACGTCCATCAGAATGTATGCGATCGTGACGTTATTCTTTACTTCCCCATAAAAAGGCGTGTTTTAACCCCAGTACAGACTTAGTGATGGTATGGAATGATATTTAAGTATTGAGTGCCATGTTAAATGAAAATTCTATCTATTTTAAAAAAGAACGTTATAAATTGTGTCTATGAAATACTTCGCCAAGAGCCTAAGATATGCGTGTCTCGGTTTGTCAATAAGTATAAAAGTTTACTCATAACTTATGAACGGCAACAACAGCAAAACAGCAGTTGTCAGCAATCAGCAACCCCCCCCTCCCCGCAAACCGCCGCGCTCCCCGCGTTCTCCACGCCCTGAGCATACCAACATTATAGTTAATATTACATTTAATTACATTGTATTCATTAAAAACCTCTTGGGTACAAATTGATACAAAGCAAGACCATTTAATTCACGCAAAAAGAAATCAACACAAGTGTTGAAGTATTGACAATATTGAAAGTTTATGAACAAATTACATAAATTGTTTATCACCTGTTTCAAAACAAGATACTAAAATTTAGTAAATATAAAAAAAAAACTTCAGTCAGGTTTTAATGAAGTTATTTACCATGTTGTAAGGTTGTTACAATTTATTTCCCAATATAGCCCAATTGTCCCTCTTGGAGTGTACATGATCTTCTTGATTTAGTACATAAAAACCTGAAATGACATCTAAGGGCCTTACTGGCCAGAGTCCTAACTGCTAATAAATTAATACATCAGGTGACACATTCATTACACACTAATCTAAAAAATTTAGACCATTGCTTTTGGATTTCAGACAGCTAAGTATATTGTACATAAAGGAGCAATGATGTACTACTAAATAAGTAGCATAGGTTTGACATCCAATGTAAAGAAACAACAGGTTTATTTGTTCTAACTGAAGTACACTGACCACCATACTCTAATACAGGTTATCTTATTTGCAAATAAAAAAGGGAAATTGTTAAATTTCTTACATTAAAGTAAACCTAGAGATTAAGAACTTAAGGTATAATTTGTTACATCAAATTTTTGCCACTATGTAGAACATAGTTAGGTCTTGAATGGCTAATGAGTAAGTGTGGAGTATAGTACCTTAGCTGAAGGCTGCTACTCTTGCGGTACAGCACTTCAGCTCTGATTTGGTACTCTCAACCTGAAAAAGAAAGATTTAATTAATTTTGTTTCACAAGGTTCCACAGATTTGAAATTCTATAAAAGAGAAGAAAAAATCTTGCGATAATATTTATAATTTTGCACTATACAAGAACTGCAAAAATTTTTGAAGATTCTACTAGAATTATCTGGTATAATTGAATTTTCATATAAAATCATCATCATTTCAGCCATAGGACGTCCACTGCTGAACATAGGCCTTCCATGTTGACCCCAATGCTTTCCATGTTGATCGATTGGCAGCGGTCTGCGTTCAGTTGGTCATATAAAATATAGAACATTAAATGAACATAGCATCTATTTTGTATTTTTATTAGATAACATCAAATAAAAAGAGCTATTTAACATTGTACAAAGTAAAACTCAAATTACCCATCACTTCAATGTCTGGAGCGGGAGCGGGAGCGGCTGCGGCTGCGGGAGCGGCCGCGCGAACTCTTGGAGTCGGAGCGGGAACGCGAGCGCGAACGTGATCGCGAGCGCGAATACGAGCGCCGGCGCGAGCGGGATCGGGACCTGGATCGACGACGTGAACGAGACCGTGAACGGGAGTTGCTAAAATAAAAACCATCAAAGTTCTATCAGTCTGATTTGCGATTGGCTAGAAATTTTGACAATTCCATGCAAAATAATAACATTCGGACAATTCTGTTGAAAGGACTTCGATTATTTCAATTATAGTTTCAGTCAAATCTTTAAGACCTGAGATATTAACAATAAAACATCATATTTGTAAATTAGTACTATTTATGAAGCGCTGAATTTAAATATATTATTATGGCAAACATTAGAAATTCAAGTCTTTCAACAGAATTAAAATATGTCTACGTAAGATTCAGGCTTTCCACTGCACTGGATCTGCAAGCACCAGCCGGCAGCTACTGCTGAAGCAGTGAATATCAATTAATTTACATCGGACACCAAGCAAAGGTGTCAATTATTAAAAAATAATATTACAAGTCTTTACAAGAATCACATGTTATTTTTTCGATAATTTTAATGTTTGTGGGTTGCAATTGCAAATCCTAAGATAGAATGGCCACCACTTAATTGAATTACAGTTTCGGTAATCTTTAGAGTTAATTTCTTGAACAAATAGTAAATCCTTGTCTAATAAAAAGCAGTTTTAAGGTAAAGTTAAGTCTCTAACCAGCAGCTGAAATTAAAAACACCACAGTTAACAGATGTTTTATAGAATATTTATGGGTTTGCTTGGCTTCAAATTAAAAACAAAATAAAGGTAAAAGTTAATCAGGAAAAGAACTATACCTCTTGCGTCGGTCGTAACGGCTTCTGTAAGGGGATGATGGCCGACCGTATCTGGCCATTTGAACCCTGAGTTCCCTGCCATCCAACATACGCCCGTCAAGGGAATCTAATGCTTCTTCGGCATCACGGCGATCGTAGAATCTAAAA